TTGTTTTTTTGTTGTTGTTGTTGTTGTTAAGTCCGCGTTTTACTAGTCCGCGTTTTACTAGTCCTCGTTTTACTAGTCCGCGTTTTACTAGTCCGCGCTTTACTAGTCCGCGTTTTACTAGTCCGCGTTTTACAAGACCGCGTTTTACTAGTCCGCGTTTTACTAGTCCGCGCTTTACTAGTCCGCGTTTTACTAGTCCACGTTTTACTAGTCCGCGTTTTACTAGTCCGCACTTTACTAGTCCGCGTTTTACTAGTCCTCGTTTTTCTAGTCCGCGCTTTACTAGTCCGCGTTTTACTAGTCCAGTCCAGTCCAGTCCAGTCCAGTCCAGTCCACGAAATACCATATGCCTTTCCATTGAGCTTCTACTGTGTTTTCACGTTGTTTACCCACTTAGTCAAACGAATGGATCAACAATAAGGTAAAACGTAGCTGGAAGCGGCCAATACTCTACATCATAAACATCAAACTAGAAAACCGCAGAGCTTATTTCGCGAAGATGTGTTCATGCCTCGAGGATGAAACAGTATTCGATTGATCGAGGCACCAACGCAGCCGTTTTAAATCGATGTACGGGTAAACAAAAGCAGATAGAATGCCTGTTTGAACTAATGATCCAAGATATTCTAAGGTGATACCTGTATTCTCTTTAGCTTAAGATAGCGAAGTATAGATCATCGACTTCCACTTGGTCTAAATCTACCGTGTTACTAACCCTTTATTGCGATTACCCTCCTCTGTCGGTTGCGCACAGTTTTTTTAGCCCTATTTCGCAGCATTGTCAATGGATAATAAATGCACTGGTCTTCGGTCATTATTCTTCGTAAAGCTAAACTGTTTATCTGTATGTGCGGAAAAATTCCTCAGAGGATTATTTCTTTTGCAGTAATACGAACACAGACACTCCTATCGATTGTTCAGTTTCTTTTGCACAGATAGCGAGAAGATGAAAATATTCACCATGACTTTAGTAAGTCTGGCGCTTCTGATTGGTTCTGATTAGCGAACTGATATTTGGGCACCAATCACACGATTCTGTCCAAATTACGTCAGCAGGGTGTTTCGTTTAGTATATTTTTTTTCATATATACCATTACTTGTAATGGTTTTTTTTGAACACGAAACAGCCCTTACCAAAATTGTTTAGGGAATAAAAGACAAACAGCTTCTAAACGAGGCAGACATTGGACATGAAAAGAGAGAAATACACTTTTCTATGTTTGTTTGATATATGCGTCTTACTCACTTCTTGTTATAACTCAAATGGTTTGATATATGCGTCTTATTCGCGTCTTGTTCTTATTCAAATGGCTGCTAAACGATCGGATGTAATGACCCAACAAATTTTTCTCCCATTAAAAAATGGCAAAAGCTATTGCCGTTTTTACATTCCTTGCCGTTTCGGTTTGTGGGAAAATTATCGAGTTCCCGGATAATAACAATAACAATGGCACGCAAAGCACACTGATTGATTCATATGATTTCACTCAATTTGACAAACTTATATTTAGACAAGCAGCTAGGATTTCACAGGTTGATCTTAAACAAGATAACTTCCTTTGTATGTAGTATTCTTTGCGGAATCCAAAGAAACAACCGAGACCGATAATGGTGTCGCAAAACTCCCTCAACCCAGTTTTATCAGAATAGGGCCAAATCAATAAATGAATAATGTCTCTGTCTCTTCTTGTTTTCCGAGAATTCAGGAAACGATTTTTGAAAAATGTCAACATTATACTTTTGGCTCATACTGTGCTTTTAAAATTTGAAACTCCTTAAAATAAGCTTAAATGATCCGCTTATTATGTTAGCTGCTTAAAAGCAGTTGAACGTTCCACTTGACTGGAACCGGGGAATTGGTTTTCTTTACCAAGGCCACATAGCTATGAGTCCATTTTTTAACCGAAAAGGGGTAAATATTTAACCATCTATGAAATACAGAGGAATCGCGTGATATCTTTTTCTGGGACCAGGATCCGGAGGTATGTTATTTTCATAGCATAATGCACTTTTTTGAAGCTATCTAGAGGAGAAGAGACTAAATTTTTAA